AGACTATTAATCAATACATCAATAATCCTATATTTATTATTGGAAGTAATAAATAATATATAATCTAAATAATATGTATCCTAAATTAATTCTAAATAATTTTTTGGTTAGAAACAAATTAGATTAGATCTAAAAAATATTAATAAGACAATGAAGTTCTTAAACTCCTCTAGAAAAATTGATTTATATTAAGAGAAGATAAATAAGAAGATGTAAGTTGATTCTTTGATAAACTACTTGATCTATCTATAAAAATACATAATAGAGATGACTTTTCTATAATTTAATAAGATATCTATAAAGATTAAAGATCATTATAAGAAACTTTTATTAAGATTGTTGTCAATCCAATGTCCTAACCAAAGTAACTTAGAATGTATATCCAATATCTAAAAAGAGTAAAGATTCAAAAAAATTGCTATCTAAGAATCAACAACCAAAAATAACAAAAATATAATTTTAGTTTTATTTATTTTTTGAGCTTTATAGAACAATTAGAGTTCAATCCTTTCACATGTACATACAAATCAAGACTAAAGCTAATAAACAATGTAGAACCATGCAAAATACTATTTTATTTAGTAAAACTAGATTAGGATTTGGCTCAATTACATGATTAGGTATATTTTTTCTATAACAATATTTTATTTAATACAATTTTCGGTTTGAATACACACAATTAAAAATTTATATAAACCTAGTATATTTGGTATTAGAGCATACTAATAAACAAGTAGAAGCTTGAAGTTCAAGTCATTTAGAATTGTCAAATACATCACCAATCAACATCAAAAAGAATGTTATATAGTTGCTAAGAAATTAATTTATGCAAAAAGAATTTGGAATTAGATTTATTTTTTTATTTTTTTATTTTTTTTATATATAATAAGTTTGTCTTATGCATTAAGAATTGGAAACTATAAAACCTACCAAGTAAGCTCAAGGAATTTTAATTGGAAAACATCTTTCCATATATATATATGGTTTAATATTATTTGGTTTTTGATTTGCAACACCTATTTGTAAATTATATAAGCTCAACACAATCCAAAATCTTTTGATGATAAGATATGTTGGAACAATATGATGCAAAAACTCCTATGAACTTAATTTATTAGCCATAAAAAAATTATGTCAAAAAAATTATCAACAAAAAATAAAAATATATAACAATATATTAAAATTCTATACATAGATTTTCACACAAAGAAATAATTAATAAATGACTAATAAAACTATATAGTACACAAAACATATTTTAAAGAGATAAAACACCAACATCTTTTTTAATAATCTAATAATTCATGCACTACCTAAGCTATAATAACATAATTGAATAAGTAAGACCATAATGCAGTTGTTTCTTCTCTCTCTCTTTATCTTCTAATTCATTCATGTCTAAATAATTATGATTCCCTTGGATTAGAAGCAAACCATGGCACTCATCCACAATGTCATAACATCCATTACATACTTTCATCCCATATTTTCATCCCATACTTTCATCCCATGTTTTCATCCCATACTTTCATCCGAAGAGTCACAACATCCATCCTGTATTTTCATCTATAAGTCATACCATCCATTCCATACTTACATCCCCCAAGCAAATGTACGCAACAAAAGTGGACGAGAAAACGACAAAGGAGCGGGACCTGAAGACGAAGGGAAACAGTTCTTCGGCGAGTTCAACATGAATGAATGAATGAATGAATGAATGCGCCGTTTCTTTCTTCGAGGCCCTGCGGCGATCGTCAGAAGGGAGCCCTCGGAGATGTCCACAATGGCGGCTGCTGCTGCTGTTGCTGCTGTGTCGAGCTTTTGCATGTTGTCCATGTGCATGTGCGCTTGCGGCAGCCTAAAAGCTCACCCTGAATTCGTAGTTGGAGTCGTCATGCCAAGGCCAGTTGCGATCATGGGACGTGCTGAATGCGCCGTCGTGATGAGCGTGCGAAACTCCCTTACCACAGCGATTGAAGTGGAATCGCCCGAGTGTGCGTCGATTTGTCAGAGCCAGGAGACATGGCAGGGGGAATCCAAACAGAGGAGCGTATCTGGAGCATCAGAGAGGTGAGCTACCGAGGAATCGTGGGTTCGAGACTAGGACGTGACCCTCTGAGTGTGGAATTTTAGAGAATGTTTGGGGACGACGACGAAAAATTAGTTGGCCGAAGCACGCAGCTCACAAAAGTCGCCTCCCGCACATGCGGCTTTCTCCGTCGGCACGAACACCGACAACCGAGTTACTGTTGTTGTGAAGTAATGGCTCACAGAACACCATTTATTGATTACAGAGTGGGGCGGTCGCAGCGAAGAAGGCGCTCATGCTTACAATGTGTCATGCGAACCCTCAACATCATCACCATCCACTTCCACAACCAAAAGTACTCGCCAATTCAATCATCACACATTCCTGATAGCTTGCATTAATCTAACAAGTAGATAGCACAAATAAGAGCTATCGGCACACCATACAGGCAAGAAGCAGGTGGCATTTGAATGCAGTTCACATCAATCCATGGAGTCTTTATTCATTTTCATCATCGGAAGAAACAATCTAATTGCCGCGAGGATTTTGCAGAGTCCCCGGAGATCTTCGCAATAAACCTCTGCAATGCACTGTGCTGCAGCTCTCCGACAAACAGTGCGTATTGTGGCGATTCCGCACACAGTAGGATGTTCACACTAGAACATAGATTCAGATACATTAGTTGCATTGCCCACTCCCGATGTCACAAAGTCTCAAGAATCTGAAGGCGTAGCCAAACACGAAATGCTACTTGGAACATGCTGCAGGTTTCCGTGGCAGCCAAAGCGATTTATTCGCCGCTCACAGCTGAGCAACTGGTGGCCATGGACGGGGAGAACTGCCAGATTGTGCAAAATGAGCGGAACAAAATATCCAAGTGACCAATTCAGTACTGATGACCACGTCGTCAGTTGAAGCAGTTTTTAGCGGCAGGTCGACGCCCTTACACGCATTCTACTAAGCTTTACCTGCAATCACATTGTCTATTCATTGTGGAATTTGTCCAGAATTGTGAGCAGTTGGAGTGCGCTGGGTCGATTAAGTGAGAGTGACGGGCAGATCAATGCAGCTCTAGGACAAGATCTTCAACATTTCCAATCGTCTATGCACGATTTGGGGGTGAGGCTGAGGAATTTGTTGACAATAAGAGAAGCCTTACTCAAAACTTTGTCTGGAGAGACGTGATGCTTTGCGCACGTTGGTTAAGAAATCAAACTCTTCCGCCGAAGCGCTCAACAAGGGGGGCGGTCACGCAGCCCAAGAAATATCCCCACAGCAACCATTCACAACTGAGTTTAATAATCAAACAGTTACACTCATGCCATCAATTCTCTCAAGCTTGTGTAGATACTCGTCTTGTTGAATACTAGAAAAGATCTGTAAGGGAGTAGTACTTGGACTGTATCAGGACAACGTAGATCAAGGTCCTAGGCTCATAACATTCGATCCAGCTTTTTCTACACATCAATTTGAGAGGATAGTTCCTACATGTCATGTGAGTCATGCTCTGAAAAATTCACGTCAGGGCTAGGGTTTCGACACGTATAATGATTCTGGTTATTATTTGGACTAAAACCTCGGCATACATCCTATATTAGATTATAATATAATAGATCGTTTGGTAAACTTACAAAACATTATCAAGACTTAAGCTGGCTATCCACCCTGACAAATGACTAGACATCCACATACAGTAAATCAACATGATTACAATAGAATCTGGCTGCTGAATCACAAATTTAGCTCTAAAAGTCTTCCTAGAATTAAATGTTTCTAGATTATTTCTACTAGAAATCCATAAACAATGTCATATCTTGTTTTAAACTGGCTCATTTCGCTCTTGAAATACCGTGCAGCTTACAGCTCATGCAGTACAAGCACTTTTGAGTACAAGTGCATTGAATCAAGAAGACCTAAAGGTATTTTGAGATCAACAAAACAAATCGTACATCGGACTTTAGCGACAAAACCAACAAGATCCATGCCTACAAACGGGATAAAGCTAGAAAGTTTAGATACGTGTTCTTCTATGAAAGATCGAAAGCCTCTCAGCGAATAACTTCCAGTACATTGTACGAAACTACAGAAATCTATAATGGGAATGCATCTTAATTAAACTACGCACATGTTAAAATGCCAAATTAGTCAGTAGTAAAAGATCATCAACCAACAGCAGATGCCTTGCCAGATCTAAAGAAACTGGAAAGGCTGTAACCCGCCTAAGGATCAGAAGTTTCGCAGTAAAAAAAACCTGCACTAAAATAGATGATTCTTCAACAGATGCACAAGATACCCCGCTCCTCCTACAATTCCATTGCCAGGGAGCGCTCGCCAGGTACCACGCAGAAATCAAGGAAATCGAGGGGAGCAACGAAACGTTCTTCAGCCTGTGCATCCTTCTCCAATAAGATTCTGCATGCTTTCTTATGAAAACACTTAAATTCCGCATGTTTTCTAATACAAAGGCCTTCAGCTGAAACCCACCCACTTCCACCTTATTGTTATTATCTAGGGGTTGGGGCAGAACTGAAAATTTCACCATTTGACTAACCGAACGACAAAACTGCCTCTCCATGAGGACCAGATTTAGACCCTCTTGGCCATTGAGCATACGGAGCTATTGATGAATTTGTCTGTGAGTTTTCTTGTTCTGCCAGCTCCAGGCTGTGACGATGAACTTCGCTTTTACCCGACTCACTCAGATGGGACAGCCCAACCAGAACTTTCTAACTCCTGAACTAACTCATTTTTAAGGAAGAAATCATCAAGGCAGGGATTAAGGAACCTACACCGGGACTTGATGCTGAACGTACTGGAAAACGATGTCATTGAGAAGGCCCAAAGCCAAACCCTGTGGAAACTTTGCACTTCACCATAAAGTTCGAGTCCAGTATTCTGATTTCGCTGTTTCTTTAGTATTTTGCCCTATTCTGTTGTGTTCTATTAAACAGAATAATTCAGAGGGCTTATGTCGTGCGAACGGAAGCCAGGCACTTGGATTATAAAACAGAATGAACAAGAGAGCCGAAATGTTTTGAATCAGCAAATCGAAATGGTACCTATGATACACTCAATGTCGTAAGGATTTCAAGACTGCAGCACCCAGGCAGCTAAATGAATGTACATCTGCCAGGGTGTAATATGAAAGCTTTCAACATACGTCTTGTGGGCTGCACATACACTTGCTGCGCATGCACCACTTGCAGCTCGCATGGACTGTTGCGAACTGGGCTCTGCGATGCTACCTACTTACTAAGATTTAGTTTCTAGAAAAGTAGACTCGTGCATTCAAACCCTCTATAGGTAATTTGTATGTGTGTATCCATTCTGATGGTTCAGACTCGGACCTTGCGAGTGGAAATTCCGGCCCCCAAAAGGATCTGAGGTATGGCTATCAAAACCCTTGGCTTGATAGTTTTTGACACCAATTAAAGCTTCACCATCATACTCCACCACATTCTCCCAGTTTTCGTATGCTACTTTTACCAATTTGTCAACATAAACCTGCAAATCCGAAGTAAGAAACAAACATTAGGACTCAAATCAAAGCAACTCTACATTTAATTTTAAAACTAGCAGAGAAACATCGCATACAGCAGTCTTGGGCATCAAAATCAGTGCAAGGATATTCTCAAGCCCACCGATAACATGCAAATTTGAACACAATTTGAGTGCGACAGTTTACCTTCTCACTGTCAGAAAGAGAATCAACGGACATGTAAGAACCATCAGCAATAAGCCCCATTAGCTGAAAAATGTTGTTGAATATGACGCCGATATTCTGCTTCTCATCAGCGTAATACACATGCAACTTTCCGCTCAACACACACGTTTTGGCATGCTCCACGGTGCCCTCCCACATTTTATTTGACATTCCGTTTCCTAAAATCTGAATTCATAAACCACCACACTTAATAAGGTTCCAGAAATAGAAGTACAAAAACTGCAAGATATTTAGTATAGATAACTGCAGTTACACCGAAGAATACAAGATATAAATTGAAGTCAAAGCACGATGAGTGATGTTGACAAAAACGTCTATAATTGATTTCAACACAATATAGAAGAAAAAATAAATATCAGCTTTCGAAAAAGAAAAAAGAAAAAAGAAAAAAGAAAAAAAAAAAAAAAAAAAAAAAAAAAAAACCTTACTCCTCACAAGTTTACAATAACCAATTGCTTACATTCCGTAGCCTCTGAGGGTCCATGACTACTAGACGTAGAAAATCCTCCACTGTCACGACATTGGCTTGATTAAGACGCTTGTGGAAAGCACCATCTTTCCCAATCTTGTCCAAGCGCCACACCTCGTCATTCAAGGCAGGTGGGTAGTGCTTTTTGTACACTGCACGAAAGTTTCAGCACAAAGAAAACTGTAAGTGGTTGCATCCAATCAAGTACCATGCTGCCTGATTCTTTTTTTCAAAAACTTTGGCACCGAACAAATCATACACAAACCGAAAGAGCACAGCTACGGAAAATAAATAAATAAATAATAAAAATAAAAGGAATTGTAGCAACTCCTAGAGATATCACATGGGAGAACCATTAAAACAAAGAACGTACGTTCTCCACGATGATCTTTGACGGTGAAGGCTTCAGTCTTGGCTTCTCGAATTCTCATGCCTTCACATTGACCAGACGCAAGTCTCACACCTAACCGGAACTTGCGACTGCGAATCCAACTGGAATTATCGGTAAATGTTAATTCTCCTAGGGTCCCGACTCCATCCTTCAGGGTGACACTCAGCTCCCCTGTAAGAAGGGGTCTCTTCCCATCTCGCTCCCTAACCATATAATTCTCAAATTCTTCCTGAGTCCAATTCTCTTCATCGTCAGCAGTGAAGTCACCTTCCAGCACAACTATGTCCAGCTTGGCTGATGCTTCGGGACCAGATGTAACAACATGCCCGGTATTGGTATTCTGTAAAACCACATGGATCGCAGAGCCTTGCTCTCCCTCCACTTTACTTCCAGTGAAAAGGGGAAGAGCCAATTTGTTTCTGAATTGTAAACGTAGATTCTGCTGATCAGGGCCCTGAATCTTTCTTGGTGAAGACCTGCATACGACAAAATTCATCGCCAATAATTTAGAATACAAACATGCAACCATCACTGTCGACGACGACACTCTATCGCACATGTAAACCATTCTATCTTCGAAAACATGTCTGAACTTCACATGTGTGAGCAATCATGGAAAGTTCATGAGGACTGAAATAATAGCAGCCTATATGTATTCTGTAGAAATTGGTTCAGGTAATTCGGTCTAATTGATTAAGAAGACTATTGTTAATCTTTTAACTAACTCGTGCTCTCCATGCGAAAGAACCGTAACAATTAGTGACTGAAAAAAAAAAAAAAAAAAAAAAAAAAAAAAAAAAAAAAACTTAGACGGTTTAACGACATCATACCGTATTCCACCAACTTTCGGAGGAGCAAATTTGGTAAGCGCACGCTCCACCTCCTCTCCTACCTGCCACCAAGTGCATTCAACAAATCAAATTCCACTATGAAAACATATTATCCTGATGCTCTCAAAAAGAAAAGTACCAACAGCTACACAGCACATCCCTTGAGATCCCAAAGGAGGAGTGGTAATATGAACGATCCAGGTTTGTGAGATTAAAACCGCCAATCCTAGTCTATCTACGGTATTCATAAGCGACGTAGTACGTGCAACCTACTGCTTACAAACAGTGATCAACAAAAGGCACCGACCATTTTCCGAAGAAGCGGCTCTAGAGTTGAACACAATTTCTGCATACAGTCCATTTTCACAGCTTCAACAATGACACTGCACATAGAAAGGTCAATCATGAGACAGAAGCCTGTGGCAATGTGGAATCTTACTTCGCTAACAAGAACAAGAAATACAAGAAGCTTCTAAAATTTTGAGAAAAGCCTGCCGGCACGATAGTAAACCATCTTTCTACGACTTGACGGCGACGATAGGTTCAAGAACAAGCACCCAAAGAACAGAAAAAAACCTTGGAACAGGATTCGGCTCTCCTTTAGTTCTATTAAAAGACTAGGAGGAAGAAGCCTGGGACATGAAAGAGGGTGTCCAAACCTGGCAAGCTGTGGGCGCGGCCGCTTTTCTTCCGGCATACCATCCTTGGAGCCATCTCTTTCACGCTTCTCTCTCGACATTCCGACACCAATACTTGAGCTGTGTGCCGAGTAAGCCAGATTGACGACAGAAATACTATGAATTCTCGCTTCTCTTCCGACGATACCTGGAATAAGTCAAATCCGTCTCTTTCCTCTTGGATCCGATTTCTTCTAAGAAACCTCCACAAATCTATAACACCACATTCAGACACACATCCAACTAAAACGGAAAGCACTCGAAAAGGCAGCTTGTGCGTAAGAAACCTTTTCCGGTAAAACCAACAAGAAAATTCTATAATAGTTCCCTCTTCGCCACCACACTACCGCACAATCTATACTGCTCTATACCGTACCACAATCTAACGACAACGAAGTCGGCCCACTATCAGAAGTAAGAAGACCGTCCAGAAATAACATCTTCAACCCCAAGACCAAACCAAAATCAGCCGGAAATTTCCGACCGCCAACCCAGCAGCCCCCGCTCTCCTTCCTTTCCCTGCACTCTCGCACATAAAACTACCTGGTACGAAACTAGCACGAACCCACAGAGCCAAAGCAAAGCCCGGAAAGATGCCAGACCACGAAACCCCACGGCAGCTTCTCTGCCACCAAGTTCCTCCTGGAAACACCCCAGTCAGTGTGCCCAAGGGGATGTGAGTAAGATCCGTATGGGCAAGACAGGTCAATACAAGGACAAGTAAACTTATGGGGGCTCGAGTACGCTTAGCGCTTCATCATTCTCGCAACGACGTAGCGGACGACTAAACGGACATCGCACGCAACCTTCGGTTCTCGATTCTTCTTCCTCTCCTCCTCTCATGTAAAGGAATAAGAGCAGGCTGTCGACACTAGTGTGAGCGTATGTGTCTCTGGCGATGCAGCGAAGGAATGCTAACAAGCGGCAAAAGATGGTGGGAACGAATAAGGGCAACACCTTGGAACGTTTGGAACCTCTAGAACTCTGCAACGCATCATTCGTCAACATACGGCAAGGCTGGCCACTCTGGTTGTGGCGAGACGGGTCACCGCTACGGCTATGGCCAGGCCTCCGCAGACGAAAGATGGGTGTGCGAGAAAAGATAAAGAAAAGTGAGATAGATACTAAAAAGAGGCCCCGCGCGCGCAGGCGGCTATGGATTGTTCTCATCCGTTGGCGTCGTCACTTGCCTTAAGATTCTGGAAGACGAGGAGGGCAGCCTGGCGACCACGCGGGTTCATCCGTGGCCGCCGTGAAGGTGCCCATGGGCGTGGGCACCCATCTGTCGGGAAATCTCTCTCATGAGTGCTTCGCTCGCTGCAAATGTGGGAGCTCCTCTTGCCCTTCGACGCGGATTCTCTGCGCTCCATGCCTCCGCTTGCCCCCCCCCCCCCCCCCTCCATTGGTGCCGTTCCGGCCACGGTAATCCCAAGTCACTCCTTTCTTTCTTTTTTTTTTTTTTGGTGCCGGAAATGCCCCGGTGAAGATTTGGGAAAAATTTTTTGGGGCATGCCCCTCCCAGGCCGGAAAGCTGAACAGCTCTCGTCGTCCTGAGCCTTCCTCCGTAAATGTTTTACTTCGCAAATAGTCTTTCTGTTGGCTGACAAAAGTGCGTTGCTGTTGTCATGCCAGGAGCCCTAAACTTATATATGCATATAATATATATATACACAAGCTGATTCTTGTAAAATCCTGGTGGGTAGGTTGTCAGGAGCAGTCATTGAGCGCAGTGTCAGGGTGACACTATTCGCACGCTCTTTTCATCGTTTGATTAATCGCAGACTTTTTCCCTACAACCTAATTTAAATTAAGACGCAGGCTCAGGTAAGGGTGGAGGGTGAATTAAACTACATATTCTTCTTGCAAAAACAATCGAATACAAAGCTCTAACCACATGGAAAAGCTATGAAAACCTAGTCACTTCAGTGGAGAAACACGTCTGTAGTCGTGTATACTGATTGGATTCTTTGAGTTTTGGGCTCCAGGTTGATTCCGGATTACGTAACAATCTGGAAACAACGTAAGTCCCAGTCGTTGTTTGGACATTTGTAGGGAAAAAACAATATTCATTCATAAACTATTGTGAGAAACGTCAAAAATAAAAATAAAATTTTCCGGACTGAAAGATAGTATGCGTGTGTTTCAAAGTTTTGACCAGAAGAGAATGACCAACAACATGCGCCAACGACAAACACCAGTTTCCAATCTCTGTAGACTAGTGCTACGGAGATTGGCCTGGATCTGGAGTTATTGGGCTCCAAAGAGTTTACTTTGTATTGTGCTGATGTCAGGTCAACCTTGTACATCTGCTGACAGTCAGGTTATGTCATTTGGTGGACGCAATTGCAAGCTGCGTCATTGCCTCATCAGATTGTCGGGTTTATATAGAAAGCAGCGGTGGCATCAAGACGTAATGTACTGCTGGTCAGGTTGCGTGGGAAGGGTAAGCGTGGCAAATCTTTGTCATAATCACATGAAATAACACACTTCAGTATTGAGAAATGGCTGAGGAACTATCCAAACAGGTAGAACTACTGGTGCTAATCTACATGGAGGTCAGGCGATCGCACAGGGTGTTATCAGCAGGGGAAGAGGTTCATGCAACAAATTTATGTGACAACGCCACTAGTAGTTGATTAAAAGCTGGAGGCAATGTTGAAAGAAATGTCAGGTTGAGCATCTTTGCAGAAAATGCGAGGCTGGTTCTTAATATGTTCCACGCAATTGCAGGAATTGCTTTGCGGCCTATTTTGGGTCTTTCTGAGGTCAAAGGGCCTTCACAGTCCAAAGGACGATAATTTCTGAACATCTTAACTTCATTCAGACAGCTCTCAGAGACTGGGCCAGCGCTAGTGATCAGGTATGACGTTTTGCTCCATTGAAAAAAAAAGAGTTTAGTAGAACGGAACATGAGAAACAGACCAAGACGTTCCTTAGCATAGACGTCGACCCGGCAGATACTTCTCACTTCGAAGTCCTAATTCATGCTCAAGTATTAAACTGCAGCTAAATTGCAAAGAATGCACCTATAGAACGCATTACATTGAAAAGCAGATCTAAACACGAATGATACATTATTTGTTGTATTATAAAGGTTTAATAGGCACCTCAATAAAGTACACCATCAATGCTCCATATACAGATAGTAGAACAGCTTGTTACAGTCAACATCTTCCCATTACATTGTTGAATGTGATGCCATAAATCAAAAGAAAGAAGACATGGATATGTATATGTATATATATTGTCTCTAGAATCTTACTGCATGTAGCTTACATACTTGGCACTTAACAAAATTTTCTGCACGCATAGAAGAGCTTGTTTTGCAAGCTCTGGATCGGGGTGCGACATGTGTTTCATGACTCTCTCCTTGGCCTTCAAATCAACTACAATTCCTCGACCAGCTGGATGAAATTGTATAAATTGAGATATATCGTGACAAGCCACTGCAAGAGTTTTAGAATCCCGAGAGATGTCCAACAACGTAATCAGGATACGTAGAACCTGCACACAATGAAAATCAACTTACATGTCTATAATGCAGTCCATTACACGAAATTTAACGGGCGTCAACGGAATACACTTAAACACATCAACATGTCTCTAAGGTGCGGAATTTGTTAATTCAAGAGAACTAACAGAATAGTATAGCATCAAAAAGGTCAATAATAACCTGGAAGTCATTTTCTTCAAACTTGGTGATGTTCTCGCGCCAAAACACGGGATCTTTATGCATTGAAGTCCAGTCCAGATTTCCAGAAAACACTTGGCCTTTGAACTTGTCGAAGGAGCTCAATTTGCGAATGCTGTCCTTCAAGGCGGCATCTAATACTTCCAATGCTTGTAACAGGTCCTGTATCGACAAACACCCATGCTCAAAAGTTAGGCTGACCTTAAGATATATTCAATTTTGAATTGGTGAAATCTTTTCTTGACGTCATCAAAAAACCCTTTGTGGTGGTTACGTCTGCACATCAAAGAACTGGCAAGTTATCTACCAGTGAAGTTTACCTCCACAAAATCATCTTCCTAAGTTTAGCTTAAGTCTGCAAAATCGGGGCAAAGGTCGACAAAATCTCACCTCGTCACTCCAGGCGTACAACTGCAAGCTCTGAACAATCTTGGGCAAACCCAAATCTACCATCTCTGAAGCAGAGTTTCCCTTGCTTGAAAGATTGCGAAATGTCATCACAGCAACTCTAACGACCTGTCATACCCAATTACTTGCAACTCAATAAAAATCCTTGCAATACTGGAAAATATTGGACAAGATAGTAACACATATTGGACAAACTCAAGTCAGGTTCTTTTCTGATCGCACTCTACAATTCAAACCTTGACCAAAAGATATGATGAAATGTAATAAACCAAACCAAATCTAAGGTCATCAGCTGCACCCATTAGTACCTTTTCCTTGGTGGAACTCTTCACAACTTCCACTAAGCGAGGAAGCACTTTTGCCGAGGAAAACGCTTCAACAGCACTGTCGACAAAGGACAGAAGCCATATACAAAGGGTTACCTCGTACAGCAGCTGCAAGAATAACAGGCTTTAAGGTTTTTACAGTGTGCAAATATTTGTGGCTCACAAAACGAAGATTCATTAACTTTACCCCAAAACTAAATCAAGCAGAAAATTGCCACAGAAAAATAGAAATAAAGGATTAACCGATTGTGAAGAAGATTAAAAAAACTGCGGCAGAATGTGGCAGAAATTAACCTGAATAGATTGCTGATTGGTGAGGGGCGTAATTAAGGGAGCCAGAAGCTTGGTGCCTTCCGCCTTAATAAACATAATTCGCACTCTAGGAATACGCAAAAGAGTTGCTAAAGAGCTCACGGCCATTGGAACACCCCGAGTAGGATGAGCCGGACTTCTTAGCTGTGCATATTCAATGCTGATCAGTTTACGTAGCGGAAAATTCACAACATTTTTGTGACAGAATTTAACTTCAGACAGTACGACCATTCCTTCATCAACAAGTAGAAACGTTTAAGATAGACCTATTCCTTGAATGCCTCGCAGATCTACCTAAAAATTCCATGAATTAAACCTTACTGAACAACAAATATGCGAGCTCTACCTGACTAATGAGCCAATCCACGAGACTTCGCAGAACCTCGTTAAATGTATCAGGCTTCTTCTGTGAAGCTAAAGAGTCCTCAATCTCTGCCTCGTACTGTCGAGCACTGCAACACCCTAGCCACAAGCCTTCTCAGTCAAGAACCTTGCAAACTGTATTTCAATACAGATGAATGAACAAAAACATGTTAATATTTACATATTTCTTACAACATCCTTGAATTACGTCTGATATCAACTGATAGACAGAGTAGGAGGAAGGAATATAATCAGATGAGTAGAAATAAATATATACAGAGTGGGGTACTAGGTCTATGACGATTCCTGTTTATGCAAGGCCAGCCAATCTATATTCGACTATAAAACATTCTAAAACAAATGAGAAGGACAGTGTGTAAATCCTCTGAATAAGTGGGAGGCAGAGAAAGAAACTACTTCCCGAGTATTACACGAAGTTTAAGCTTCGTATTCAACAGCAATCAAGCAAGAGATTTGAACAGCTAATGCCAAATATGTCAAATATGCAAATTTAAGCTCGTCAAATATAAGTTAAAAGACTTCTCAAAACCTACCTAATAATCAGGGTCAGAATCTTGCAGCTTTTCTCTTGAATAAACCAGTTCTTCTTTGACAGCAACCTGCAGCATATCCATTAGATCATAAGAACACACTCACGCGTAACTTGCTGTGCGTTATGAAATTCAACCAATAACAAAACGTATGTTAGAAACGTGAAGGATTAAAAATAGGAAATAATCAAATGAAGACCTTATGAAAGGTCGATAAACATCAATATCTTTGTCTTGAAAAGATTTGTCAAGGAATAATCGAGCACGTTTAGGATTGGCTGCCAAAATATGCACAAAAATTAGTCAAAAGCCAGTAATTAACGCTGTGAATACTGAATCCAGACAACCAAAAACCTAGTTAACACAAGCAAGGTACAAGCAGTTTATGATTATTACTGAATCATCTGCCGAAAAAGATATGAGATGACATGTATACAAGCAATGTACCCGTGAGCATCTCGTCCACCATAGCAAGCACATACTCAATAGTTTCTTGCTTGGAGATGTCCGCTAGAATGCCCACAAACACTCTGACGTAGGCTACTCCATTCTGCACTTCCAGTGAACGCGCTCATTTATTTGAAGTTGAAGCTTTAATAAATAAAAATAAATTAAAACGCTTGGAACTTTAATAAACAGGGTATTTGAGATCTCGAAAACCATCATATGAGTAAATCATCGCACGATTGACCATCAAAACTTTGTTGCAGTTTCAGACGGATCCTAGATTGGATACTCTCTTGTACAATCCAAGGAGATCATGCCACTTAGATGCATACTATCTCGGCAAGCCATCGTTAAAACCCCCACAAAAACTAACAGCTGGGTTGAGTCAGGTTCAGCTGCATGCGCCTACGGCAATACGGATCCTCTTCAACAACAAAAGAGAGTACCAAAATTCCATCCATTGACCTTTGCTAGCTGCTACGCTCGTACACCCAGTCCACCCTTCATCGCCAAAAAAAAAATTCACCACCCATAACCCAAGTACCTCTTCCAACAATGCAGCTTGGACACTTTCGGGACGGTGGTCATATCGCCTCAGCAGTTGCAACCCAGTGCTATTGATCAGCTTGGCTGTCATGTACATCTCCCATGGAATATCCCTTTTCAACACCTACAAAATAAAAACATTCAAATTCTACACATCAATCCCACTCTGCCCAAAACTCCCCTCGAGGAATCTTTCAGCCCACACAAACACACGTACACACACACACACACACACACACATATACACACAACCCCTCGCCACCATCCACCCCCTCAAATCCAAATCCCATCCCTCCAACACCCATCACACCCCACCCTACAATCCCAAACACCAACCCAGCTGAAGAAACAAAAACAAATTCTCCACAATTCACACGCAACCACCACAACATCAATCCCTCAATCCCCAAATACGCCAAAAGCTCACACTCCACGAACTTCACCACCACCCTACCTCCTCTCTAGTGAGCTCAGTGTCCGTCGTCATGGCTTCCAATCCCCCTCTCCTCTTCCGGTCGAAACGCAATCAGCAGTACCAAATCTGCCCCTCCTGCAGCAGATCTCGCACCATGAACACAACAAGGATTGGCCAGTAAAGTGGGGTTTTGGTGAGGGGTGAAGCAGCATGGGGGAAGACGCTTAGGGCGAAGGAGAAAAAGCCATGGAGACTGGTCGAGAGCTATGGAGCTCTCAGCTGTCCTCCAGCTCTGCCAAAGGCCCCACCTGTACAAGTCCCTTTGCACACAAGCTCCTCGGCAATCCAGCATGGTCCTTCTTTGCGCCTGTGTGAACGGAAACGACATACCGAGGTTGATACCCTGTACGCAAGATCAGTTCCTATTTGATACCTGGGTCTCGGCTGGTATTAAAGGCGTCTGTGAAGCTTTCATCCGTTTCTACGACATTCATCGACGTGGTTGATGACGATCATTCATCTAGTTGCTGAGGACGTTTCCCTTTTGGAGTTACTAAATCAATAAAAGTAATAATACTTCGTGGGGAAAAAGTGTTAATTGGTGATCAATCTAATGGGGTGGAATTAATTGAGGTGAAAAGTTATTAATGTTAATTTTCCAATAATTTTACATGATGGATAGGTCTCTATCGATTTTACATAATATGCATAGATAAATATATTTTAGTTTTTAATTTTTATTTTTATTATTTTTTATGGAGAGAATTGGAATATAAAGTAAACGTGGAATTTAATAGATTAATATTCAATAGTAATATAAAAACACTTTTGACGTAAAAAAAAATAATAATAATTGTATTCAAATTATTAAAAGATGGCAAGTTGGTGTTTTGAGGTTGGGGGTTTAAATTCCAACTGTAGAATTTACAACTCTTCTTTATAGACTCTATCATATAGATAATGACTCTCTAGTATTTTAATAATATAGGCATTTTAAAAAAATCAAAAATCAAAATCACATGTATTAACTTTAAAATTAATAAATAGCATACACTGACATACAATATCATCTTTAAAATAATATATATAATATAAAATATAAATATGTTAAAAATATTTTATTTTTATTAAATGAAAATCCAGTAATGTTAAATAGACGTGCAAAGGTATTTGATTTCAGAAAGAAATTACTATTTACTATAATTTATTACAAACTTTCAATACAAAATAGATATTTAATTTACTAGATGAAGATTATTAATATAAAAATATACAAAACTACTTATTAATTATAAATAAAAATCAAAAAGAATCTAGATGTATGAGTATATATATTTATATTTATATATATAGATACTTATATTCGAAATTTTGACTTATAAAAATACATTATGGGATTATTTTCATATATTATAAAATAATTTATAATATTAAAAATAAATAAAATATTATAATTTCCAATACTAGAAATTTTCATTTTAAAAATACATAACATACATACATACATACATACATATATATACATATATATATATATATATATATATATAAGAATATTAAATCAATCTGCCTCAATCTTGAATTGATCCACTTTTAATAAAATATAAATAGTTAATCATTTGCATTATTTGGCATCTTTAAAAACCACTCTATTTGCCATATTTCTTTAGCCAATCCTTCTTCACAATTCATCTCCAATGCCTCCCGAACTTCACCTTGATGTAAAATAGTCCTCGTGATGTTTGTTTCTACCTTAGTAGTTGACCTCTCACATTCAAAAATCATACTCTTCCTTTGAGTGGGTCAATTATAGTCCTTCCTAAGGGTTCCATTCTCTACCCTTCCCACTCCTTTCCAAAATCAACACATCACCAAATGCAATACTAAAAAAATTGGTGAAGGAGTGCAAAGTTCTATGCATTGCAAGAGCAAAGTAGGGTGAAGATGGGTGAGTTGATTTAAATTTTAAGTGGATCAATTTAATTTCCTTCCTTATGGAATTTTTTTTTTTGTAATTTAAATAATAATCTTGTTTCAAGTTTTGACATTGACATTCAAATCTCATGTTCAGAATGACAAACAGTGATTCTCTTTCTTCAGTATACACCTCTGGGAATCTACATCTTAATCAGCTTCAGAGTGTGTCTAACTCCATCAATTAAGAATGAATGCTTATTATCTGCCCAAGTAAGCTCAAAATTGAAGCCACATGATGTTCATGTGCATTCCAGTCAACATGGGTGAGGTTATTGGTCACCTTTAAAATCTGCCTTTTCAATTGCAAAATAATTTAATCTTTGTGTCACATTCAATCCATGGATCCATCTGCACTCACATGAATAAAATGCAAGTTTTAATTTAGAGGTAGTGAAAGAATTTTGGCCTCTTTGTTACACAACTTGGAAAATGTAGTTATTATTATTTTAACTATCATAACTACCTTGTTTCTTTATTTTTTTAATATTCATATTGAAATGTAATGTTTTGAGTTCTTCAGTGCTCGCTTTGCAAATAGTTTCTGGGAGATTTTATTCTGTTTGGAAAGCTGATCCGCTCAACTAAACCTTGAGGTTGTCAATTTCAAGACCATTGGAAATTTATTTCTACGTGAGTGGAGTTGCCTACATTTTGTAGATCCAAGCTTGATGGTCATGAAATTACAAGTCCTGTCAGTGTTCTGAAAAAATAAGAGCTTGCAATAAGTTCAATAAATAATGTATGCATGAAATGTGATTGTAAACATTCATGTTGTGGCCTAGATAGAAATTTTAAATTGCTTATAGATACTAAGTTTATTGTTTACATTTAGGTACAAATTATAATTGTAAGGTCTTCAACACTGTATATGTCTCTTCCAATCAGAAGATGTATCAAGAGTGTATCAACACTCTAAATACATACAAATGTAGCATCATAGCAGATGACAAAGTAGTACTCACCATCCCTGTTCCTATTGGTTGTTGTTACAAACCTTCAGAAGAAGCATCAGCTATAAGAAGATCATTTATTATAGAAGGAAGAAAGAAGGTCCTCATCTGCCAAGAAAGAAACTGCACCTTTAGATATCTAGCACGAAAAGAAAAGTATGAACTACAACTATCAAAATGTCATTGTGAAATCTATATGATTGATGGAGTATTAAAGGTTTTTCTTTCACATAAAAATCTTGTGAACATCTTTGCTATAATGAAAGTCCTTCAAAAGACTATTGCTAGTGGAAAACAAGAGATACTGTCATGGACAAAGCATCGAAAGGAAGTATTAGGACTGTTCTTAGAATCACAACTAGATGCTACTATGCTTGACAATAGTATCATATATTCAAGAGAAAGAATCTTGGCAACTCTTGATGATGACAAGAAGGTAAAGATGTTATCGTTGATGATATGCAGGTTTATAGAGACTATGCTATCTCTCAAACAAGAAAATGATAGAGGCTGCTTGAGCTTCAAATGTGTGCATACTCTAGTGGACATTGTACGGAGGTGCATAGAGAAGAGGATTAGCAAGCTTAATCAGCAAAAGATAAGAAGCAACAATAGGTAGAAAGCAGTAATAGTAAGTGCACTAAATCGAATATCAAAGGATATCTAGAACAACTTTAAGATAGGTATATGGGAAGGCTTCATTCAAGGTGACAATAAAAGAACTATATCTCAAGCATTGTCTTCAAAGTCTACTCTTGATTCATTGGCTCATGTTAGAAGAGTTGAAATTAGCTCCAAAGAAAGAGCAAGTGCTATAATGAGATGCTACCGCTTCTTTACAATGTAAAGCAAAAACTTAGAATTGATTCCAAATTCTACTATTGAACATTTTTTTTTGTTAATTCAAGCATGTTTAATTTAGAGTGGGCAAAAGAGGTTGAAAGATTAGACCTTGCCTATCCTAATCCAAAATCTATAAATTGCTTCCTAATAATGTCTACTATCACAAAAAGATCCAACTCAAAAGAACATAATATTGATTATATAGTGGATTTTTTTAAAATTACTAATGCTAACTTAAAAGGCATATGTGAATATTATGCAACAAATCCAAGAGCAAAATATTGAATAAGAAAGAAATAAATAACACAAATTTAACAAAAAGAGTTGAAATGAAGAAGATTGGTGGATAGAAAAGAGAAGAAGATTTTAAAAGGTGCTCACTATTGCAATGTAGCAAAAGATCATGCTTGTAAGGTTGTTAGCAAGAAGTTGCATGCAAAGGTGTAGATGAAGATACAAAATCAAGCCCTACATGTATAGCAATAAGCATTGCTTACTACGAGGAGGTCGTGGAGAGCATTGTAGTGACTCAATGCCTTGATTCCAACATAAAAGTGCAAAGAAGAGATATAATTTGAGGCTTTCTTTTCAACTTGTAATCTTGCCTAATTTGGATCCAATACAACATGTGCGCTAGCCTTGTATTGATCAACAACATGTACCCTCACCATTACCATGCACTAACCTAAAATATACCTTGTAACTAAGCATTTCAGTGCAACCTCAAGCATACAACTTGCAATAGTGCATTTTGTTGCAACCTCTAGCATATGGCTCACAATTTATGAGCGGCACTCATTTTTTGTTTGGTAGTCTATTACAAAATTATATCACCCTTATACAATCCATAAAGCAAATGTAGTAGTCACCTATTTATACAAATCTCACATAATTGCAACATATTTTGATGCCATACTCATGGCCTATGCAACTCAATATTGGAGAGAAATCATAAATGAGATGTTCAAATAAGGCTAAAAGATGAAGGATGTGTGAGCTAGTATTTGGAGATGAGCCAAAATAAGGAAAGTTAATTGCAAAAATCACACTAAAAAATGGTGGCTTACTTACAACTAGATTTTTTAATTCTAGTTGTCTTTTCTATACATTATCATCCATAAATAGCATAGAATTAGGTGTAGCTTGATAGTATAATTAAGTGCCACCCCTCTCAATTACAAGAAAAGAAGATTATGAATTTTGTAACCAACCATAGGTTAGAATTAAGCTATGGTTGGCTTATACATCAAGTTTGCATCAAACAAAATCTTTTGCTAAATCATTAATATAAATTCTATTTTTGAGCAAAATTGTAAGAAAATACTTGCAAATTTTCTTGATTTTTATTCCTCTACAACCAGATTTCTTTTTATTTTTTCATACACATACTGCAGATATGCTAAAATACTTAAGTTTTTGGAATTGGGTTGGCTCCCTTAGAATGAATACATTACAACATTACAAAAACAACAAAGTCACAAATTGGCATGACAAGGTGAAAGGAAGTACAGACAAGGACAGTTCACAGGTTTTTCAGGCAGTAATTGGGGGATTAATGAAATCACACCATATGTGCTCTGCTTGGTGAATACAGTAGTCTGAGAGGGAAGAGAATGTGTCAATCAGCAAGGAAACCCAGCATGCACCGCGCCAAACCTCTCTCCCGTCGTTTTTCTATTGCTATACATGGTGAAAACTCTTAGAAATGCATGACCAAGATAACAATAGAATTGATTTCAAAGACATCATTCTTTCTATACTGTTTACTCTACTCATTCCTCTTACTCCCCCAATGCCCAATAGAGTCTCTGCTCTCAGACTCACGGCACTATTCATATCATTAGCTCCGAACAAGTATGTTTGAAACTGGAAGGGCGCGAGATTTGTACTGAAGAATGTTGAGGTGTAACAACTGACGAATCAGGAACAAGTAGATGGCGTAGAAAATGTATAAGTAGCTTCCAGACTACTGATGTGAATTGAAATTAAGATTAACTGTCAGATCTTTCAGTTGAGAACTCTGATTAGTCAATCAACGACACAAGCCCTTGCACGGTTACAGTAATACCAGATGTTTAAATCAGGTGCTGATATACATATTTGACAACATACAAATCTCGTTTGCGCCAATTAAATCACCGAACACAATCCATGACATTGTGAAACGCGGTTGGCTGCGACAACCTTAATAGCAAACCATACACGAAAGAGTAAGCAGATCGTACATAGATACAACAAAGCACACTAACTTTCATGATTTCACGAGAATTTCTCACATGTCAGGATCGTTCCACAAAGTGTTCAAAGTATGCGCTATCTCAGGTCCAATTATCCCATCAAACGAGCACTACAATCCAAGACTCAGTCAACCAATACCACATAATTCGAAAAGGAGAGATGGAATTTCAAGTCATTGTTCTCAAGCTGTTGCTGCCAAAACAAGGATCGTGATTAACAAATGGTAACATATCCATACATTGTGATCCCACAAGCTGTGGCCACAGTTGGAGGATTTCAACGACAACGAGTACAGAAAGGTCTATTCCTCTTAAATGTACTAGATCAATACAGTCGATTCGTTGCACTCAGTCAAACAAGCTGAAGCCCATGTCCTGCACAGAGCAACGTAGTGATATGTAAGATGAATAAAAGGATTTTAAGGAAGAAAACCCTAAACCTAAATATTAATGCATTTGTCAAAAACCTCTGGTCCAACAAAAAGTGGAGACGCAGGGGTGTAGGATATGGACGCGGAGGTTAAAACCCTAAATGGACCCAGAAGTTCCCCTCACTGGAACTTGAGCAGTAAGGTCCCTAGAAGGAAGAGCGAAATATTAGAACGTAACAAGTGTGTACGGGAAATGAACATATCATCAGAAAACACTTACATCATCAGACTCTTCCTTCTCCTCCTCCTTCTTGGCCTCTTCCTTCTTCTCCTCAGCAGGAGCAGCAGCAGCGGAGCTACCACCTCCAGAAGCTACGACGACACCACCACCTCCGCCTGAGGGTACGGATGCAAACTTCTCCTTTCCAGCGGCAATCACTTCCAAGATGTCCTTGCCTTCCAACTCCTTCAACAGTAGGCTAACCCTGCTGGCGTCGGCCTCAGCTCCAACTGCAAGTAATCTCGTCATTCAGAACCTCAGGTTTCAGAGGTGATTACTTAACCTCAAAGGACATTCACATAACTTCAAAAAAATCGCAGCAAGAAATTTCCAGAATCGTCACAATCCCTGTAACCGTTTCACAGAAGCAACATAAAAATAGGGCTACATTAGAAACTATCACGATCTGGATTACCTGCGCCGAGGATGGCCTCTATATCCTTTGCACTGGGGGAAGGATTGCCCCCCAGAAGAGCCAGAAGGTATGCAGCGACAACTTTCATTTTGACGGATGGTAAATAGCACAAAGATCGAAGGGATATGGACCAGCGCAAGAGCAAACACAACCTTGCAAGCGGGAACAAAGAGACATTGCAAGGAGCACCCAAAAGCTTCTTCAACGAAACCCTAATATCTTCGACGGCTCAGATGTCGCGAGAGAAATTCCCATCCAGCGGCTGGAAAGTCCCCTGGATTGACCGCTACAGAATCGACGAATTCCTGTTTTTCGTCACCGACGATGATGACGACCTTGGGATATATGGCGAAGTTTTCTTCAATGAGCCTCAATTGACTGTTTTATTTTCCCGTCACAGACCACTATTCTGTTAGTTCTGTTTCGAATTGAGGTCCGTTGATTCATTTGTATGCTCTCTTTCCTTACTTTCATAACGAGTCACGACATGAAGACAGTGCGCGATCACGATTCAATCCACGTGTGTTAATTTACACTAGAGTATTCTGAAATCCAATCAATAATATTGTGTTCACATGTAATGGCCGACAGCACTAATTTATGCACTTCAGGAGTCTACATTATGTGTGAGGCATGGCTCCAGAAGCGGCCTGGGGGGCAATTTTTACAATACAGGCTATAATATTGCTAGGTTGCGAGCTTAGGCTGTCATTGCCGTACAGGTCCTTGATCATAGCCTCAGTGTTTCAATGGTACTTAATTCTAACATTGATGCTTGATAAGGTGATGAGACCGTGGAGTCAGCTGTCTTCCAAGGTTCGGCCCATACAGTCTCGTTTGAGACAACCACCTTCACGGTGATGACGACGGTGAGACATGTCCTTCGCTTAAAGCAGACCATTCGCAACTCTCTTCAGACTTGAATGCCTTCGGGAACATTCGCGGTGTGTTGCAGACACATTTCAACAGCCGCCTGTAGAAAAATTCTATACTTTCTTGATCACCAATGCTTCTACGTAAGCTTATTTGATAGTTGGAACATGTGTGGTCACAAAGTAGCGTAGAAGCTCACTATAATTGAATGAGCATCCAGTGTATATCTCCGGGAGTTTTTATCAGGGGAATTATGGGACGAGAAGCTGATGCAGGGTCATTCCCGCTTCTGCTAATTTCATAGACATCGTCGTGTGCAAGTCTTTGTTCATACAAATCCCGCAGTACACGGATGTTATCCATGGAACGGGTTGGCGGGATTCAGGGATGTAAATTGCAATCCTTCACTTTACTCCATGTCTAAATTTGTCCGAAGTGATAAAGCTTGGCAAAAAATGACAAAGAGAGCTACAGGAACTCAAGGATAAGCATCCAAAGGAAGACCGCCTCCACGGATGACGATAGCTCACCTCGTGACCTCGAGGAGGCTCCCTTCCCAAGTTCTGTGCACCAATTTCAAAATGAGCACACACGACATTTAGACCATCACACAATGCCATTAGCAAAAGGGAAAACATGTCTCTTAGGCTCGGGATCTTACCAATGGATCCAGAACCAAGTTCATCAACACAGAGAGCCAAGCAGAGTCTTGAAGTTTTCATTTAAGTATCCAAAGGCTTTTAGAGAACAGATTGAAAATAGTATACAGTTTCAGACGCCACAACCAGAGCCCGAACAATCAGGCCAAGAAACATTGACAAACCATGTTCAAGGAACTTGCCTGTCAATCAAAGACCAAACTACTGAATGCTCTAAGCTGCTTTATCATCAAGGAGATCCCCAAGCAATCACACATCTGTGAGTCCTTCACGTGCAAAGCCCATTGCTCACCAGTCTACATCGACCCCAGTCTACATCGATCCGTACTTTCACAACCCTAGAATACAATCCAACCGCGCCGCTCACCTGCAAACGCCACAATCAAATTCGTCAACTATTTGGCGGCATCCCAGCTTGCTGATTAGGTGGCATTTGAGTTGGTTGCTGTTGCCACATCTGCTGCATCGGAGCTTGCTGCTGCATGTACTGCATTGGGGGTCGCTGCGGCTGCGACTGCGGCTGCGGTTGGTACATAGCCGTCGGGTCCATAGCCATGGCTGGCCTCACGCCCATCATCGAGTTGCCCATCATGGCAGGAGAGCCTATTGCGGCTTGCGGAACTGGGCCTTGCGGTGTCTGTACGTAATACACTCCTTCGTAACTCACAGGGCTACCAACCGGCATGGCACCTCGAGGGACGCCAAGACCGTCTTCCTTGTTGAGCTCGTCACGCGGGACGATATCCACCAAGAAGTCGAAGATGTCTGTGCGAGTGATAGCAGCTGCAATGTCGTTCTTCTGCAAAGTGCGCCGCTTGTTCTCTTCGGTGTGTATCCATGAACGGAGCGTGAGTTCCAAGATGAACATCTCGCAAGCTTTTGCAAAAAGGACTGGTGCTTCTGCAGAGATCATTCGGACGTCTTCGTCTGCCTTCATAATCTTCTTGATGCGCGCAAGAGGCAGTTGATGGTTCTTGAAATCGTTGACCTGTTCACCAAATATACTCAAAAAAATATGTTCGAAATGACCAAAACAAAAACTCTAACAGCCTAGACCAATATTGCTCCAATATGTTGCAAGTTGCAAGCAATAGAATCCACAGTTTAAGATGAAAACTGCATTAAAATGCTTGCAACTACACTGAATTCCCAATAGAATCCACTGTCAACAACGTAGAACAGTCGGCCACAGATTTTGTGATAATTAATGAATAACAGACCTGTTCGATCTCACTCATTTGGTTAGCCCAGAACATCTGCAGCTGCTGTTGGTGCTGCTGCTGGAGGTGCTGATAACTAAGCTGTGCCTGCTGCTGTTGAGCTAAGGCCGTCGGATAAGCCCCTGGAGACTGTCCTTGAATCTGTCCCCCTTGGGATGGCGAGGTTTCCGGGCCTCCCCCTAACGACTGAGGGCCTTGGTATGATTGTTGCATACCCATGTTCTGTGAGTACTGCATCTGAGGTTGCTGCTGGGCCATCATATTGTTCATGGTCTGCTGCTGGTGTTGTTGTTGCTGCTGCTGCTGCTGCACATCTTGCTGCTGTTGTTGTTGTGCTTGCTGCTGAGCAAGCTGTTGATGATTCTCCATGATCGAGTAAGCAGTGTCGAACTATTACTGCTGGTATGTCGTTTACAAGAAATATACTACGCGCAATGGGACTGTCAAGATCCTTCGAGATACTATTACTGTATGTAGTGAGATTCCAGTTTTTTTTAATTTTATAACAAGAGGAACACCTCAACGGAGATCAGTCAGTGTATTACACTACCTGTCTACAACTATATTCCAGGTATTGTACTCTTCACACTACCAGATAGAAGTGATTCAGAGCGCTGATTCTATGACAGGTTTGAATCACTCGGCCACTTTCTGACGTTTAATTACACTTATATAATCTAAGGTTCAGTGTTACTGGAGCAGAACTATGCTATATTTCAAAACACATGTTCAATAGTGTCGACGGATTGGGTGGTTTTCGCAGCAGTTGGTACTGCAGTGAAGGATCGAGAATCGAGCTGAAAGCACAAAAACTACTTCCCGAACTAGGTGAGGTTCTAATAGCTCCCTAAGATGAACTACCCGAAGAAAGTGAAACGTCCTAGCGATATATTCTACGATAATACTAAAATGGTTTAAGCTACTTAGAGTATACTCTAATGCAGCTCTCAAGGCTGCTTGTATTCTCGACAAATTGATTTATTCAGTTATGCGTGCACTTAAGTTCTTTCTTTTTAAGTAGGTGCTTTCTAAGACTCGAAAAATTCCAGAACACCCTTCGCACGCTCCTCAACCTGTTCGAAGCCAACCGTAAACAACAACACCAGGTCCAGATTATTACGAGAGTTTCCACTTCCCAATTGCAGCGACTTCGAGGCACAGAGGGTGAGCAGTTTAGCCTGCAAAGTCGGTATCGAAAGCCGTCACATAAAACCTGGCAGAAGGAGACTTTTCCAGACAATCGGTACACAGTTTTCGACTACCGCTCTCCCCGCCCGTCTCTTGCCTCCTTCACACTCTCCATCACATCTGCCCCGCACCAACGAGTGGACACTCTACAGCAACGACCCACTCAAAACCAGCCAGTCCAACCGGTCCGCGTCCGAAGTAGGAAATCCTCACCACGAACTCGCCGACACTCCCGCCAACCGCAATCACGCTCCAATCGGGCAGCAACCGCGACCAACCCTCCCTTCCTCACCGCACTTCACAAGCTCCAATCCCAACCGCGGCAGCGTGATTATTGCACTAGTCTTTGCGCACATGGCAAGAGATTTCGACCTGGAATCCCCGCATGGTGCACTTACCGCTGCTAATGCTTCCCATCGGATTGCGCGATGGATAGCGCGGCGATAGGGACGGCGCGAGGAGGTGGAAGGAGGGAGGTCTGGCGTGGGCGGGGCCCCTTAACCGAGACTCAAGCCCCAGAGCTCACAGTAACTGGCGAAAGGAGAGGGGGGAGCTGCAACCAAGGCTGCCATGGTCTGCAGACGCCCGGATAAGAGCCTTATCCCCGCCCCGCCCGCCCAAACGTTCTATCCCCTATTTGTTCCCGTCCAACCATTGGCCTATCAGATCTCACCACCCACGTTCCCTTCCTTGTTCTACTCGCCGTTCCCGAACTCGTTCCCACTCGCCATGTGGGGGGTGATGGCTCATGGAAACCCTCGGATGTGTCCTTCCGTGCTTTTTCGCTTTTCATCGCCACAACTTAGCATTATCAATCGCGATCGAGGCGATCGACGAGTTTGTGGGTTGCGTGAGACTGGCGGGCGATCGCCCTGGGGAGTGCAATCTTTGTAGGACTGAAATCAAGCTTCTGTCGAGGCGGTTTCGGTGTGAATTTAGGATTGCGTCAGAAGGAAGCCATTTCGGAATGGAGCTTTCTGTCTCTTTTCATTCCTCGCTGACTGACTGTTCCTCGATTCCCGATTCTTGCTTCGATATTTCGAGACATAGGGATGAAGGCTTGGAGAGTAGGAGGAATGCGATGAATGCTGCACATTCCCGTAAGCCGTGGTCTTATGAATATATGTATTTATCTCTCTTTCTGGCTGGCTGTCCATGCACGCACATACAAATCAGGTGTGTGGGTCCTCTGCTGTACTGGAACGAGAAACAACAATCGCAGTGTGAACTTGTGTGAAGCGAACGACGTACTGTACTTCTTCTGAAGAGCCTCGGCAGTGAGGAGACGTGCTGCATTAACTTGTGAATTCTTGAGTATTGGTTTTTGTGAACTCAAAGTGAATTGACAGTTGCCATTCTGAGAGTGATGGGAGTTGAAGCCTGCTTCAGGGGTCTTCAGCTCGTTGGATTCCTCTAGGAAGAACCACTGCAAGACCTAAAGATGACTATTGGGCTGACTTCTTTTTCTAGAATGCATCTATGTGTCTATATATATATATATATATATATATAGATATATACATATATGTATGTGAGTAAGATAATGGCCCAATGTATTTGACAGCTAAGGCAAAGCGCACACATGTCTGGATATCATTATGATTCCAGATCAAAGGTGGATCAGATTTAGTGCGTTAAAATTCACATTGCTGAAATTGTTCTCCATCTCTCTGTAAAGCAGACGACATTTCAGCTCAGTGTGTACAAAGTAATGTTAACCCCCGCATATATCTGACATCACGTGTGAAGATCTGGTATAGGTGCCGTGATTGCACTGCATGCGAATTTCGGAACGTGAAACTTTAAGCCAGTCTAAGAATTAATCCCCGTGGTGGAATCTGCCACTCACAAAAATGTTGCTGAAAATAATTTTCGTTTACATCAATTGCTGTGAAAAGTCTGCAGAAAAAACTGTACAGGCAGATGGTGATCTCGACTGCAGGCTCTACATGCACAACCACTGAGCAGGTCAAGTCGTTCTGTTACCCGTCGATGTCTCGTGGCAGTGTAGACCCAATGGGACGAACCGCTTGTGGAATGACATAAGCGTCTTCCTAATGTTATATTGTGTGTGCACAAACTGATGCGCAGAAAATGACAATAATTGGGAAGGGCATGAGAAGTATGTGTGGCCCCACGCTCAAGCTTCTTGTGAAGCCTAGTTGTAATTTGGATGCTGTAACGGGTGTCAGAGCAATGGTCGTGCAAGTGTTAGAGTTTTCGACAACAAGATTTCACACATCCGACGAATAATCGCCAACTGTGACTTCGACAACCTTTACACAATAACATACTAGCCATTACCGTCAATAACTAGAATATACGGGTGATATATTCATCCGATGTTCCCACTTCTATTTGAGGCATTGCCATTTCCTTGACGAAACATGTTTGAAAGGTGAAGAGGGCTACTGGCCATTCTATCCCAAATGAACTCATGCAACGTTCCATCCAAAGTATTTGAAGGTAATTTATGCTTCTTCAGGGAACCATTCTCAAATTCTATCAGTTACCAGAAGCGGACTGTCATGCTCTTCCTCGACAAGCTGGTCTGACTCGGATGCGGACATGAACAAATTACCAAGCGAATAGCGTAGCATGTCACACTGGAAGCATCGAAGACAGGGACTAGTAGGTGATAAAAAGTTCCATTTCACCAAGATACACAGAGCACACGGATTGTGCGCGCATCTCCATGCAAAACTTTGAACCAGTGAGTATTGTGCACGTTCAAGCGCAAGATTCATCAATACCATTGTAAAGACAGGAACGATGAAACAAGAAGCGACTATTTCAGATCTTTGTAGCATTTCTAGGAAACCACTGTCGGAATACCTGTTAATAAGCCGCACTGTCAATTTGGTGATATTCAGAACTCCTCATAAAACGAGCCGATTTATCACCTCTCCGGTGACATAAAATTGTCGCCAACTCTAAGCTTTCCAAACTACTTTGGGTTGCATATCTCAACATATCTAAGAAGCGAATCCAAAGACCTCGTTAAACTTGTCTACGACCAACGTTCCGGAGTCAATAGATTCAAGAGGGTCCTTCCTCAACCGATGCCTCAGGCAGTTGGGCATGACAGCCCTGATGTCTTCAGCAGTCACTTCAGTTCTTCCTTGGAAGGCAGCGAAGGCCTTGGCAGCCCTGTTGCTAACAATGTCACCCCTCAGTCCGTCAACATCGAGCTCTGAGCAGACTTGCGAAATCTTTACTCTCAAATCATGTGGCACCTTCACGCCAGACAAAATAGCGCGAGCATTGTCAATTCGGTCGCGGAGCTCCTTCTGGGTTATGTCATAATTTACACGGAAAGACTTGGGGTTCGCATCAAACATCCCTCGCTCTTCCACAATCTTAACACGCAGCTCGGCATCCTTCACTGTTCCAACCTGCATCCAGCCATTCAGAAACCTTTTAAAAGAGCACTTAAGCCAGAAAATACAGGACTTCGCATACAGCAAGACGGCCTCATTCATGATCTCGATCTGGAATTTAGTATACAGCATTGGCCTACAGTACGTTTGATAAATTAGAGCATTATAGTATGTTAATGTTACCTGGGCGTGCATGCCGAATCTATCCAACAGCTGAGGTCGGAGCTCTCCCTCTTCCGGGTTACCAGACCCAATTAGGATGAATCGGGCAGGGTGCGAGATTGAAATACCCTCTCTCTCAACAGTGTTCCATCCAGATGCTGCAGAATCCAACAATACATCTACCAAATGGTCGTCAAGCAGGTTAACCTCGTCGACGTACAAAATTCCACGGTTAGCCTTCGCCAATAGACCCGGCTCGAAGGCCTTCACACCCTCTGTGAGAGCCTTCTCAATGTCGATTGTCCCGCAGACACGATCCTCGGTGGCTCCAAGGGGCAAATCCACCATGTTAATTCGTGAAGTAGTGACTGGCAGGCTCTCGTTCGCCTGCACCCTCTTCCTGACCTCCTCGCTCATCAACTCGGGGTCTTCTGGGGAAGAGTTGAAAGGGTCTCCAGCAACGACCTGAATTTCGGGCAGCAAGTCTACAAGAGCACGAACAGTGGTCGACTTACCAGTTCCACGATCCCCCATGATCATGACACCTCCAATCTTAGGGTCGATAACATTCAAAATCAGGCACATCTTCATCTCTTCTTGCCCGACAATGGCAGTGAAGGGGAACACGGGACGAGCGTCACCTTTAGAGGAACTCTGTGTCCAAAAATCCCATCCCATCATGCTGATAAGCTCAACGCACCACAAACTAAACCACCCACACAACCAGAGGAAATTCAAAATCAATCCTAATACGAGGAATGAGAAGCACACAAACCACACCTCGGCGGATGTCTCCTGCTCCAAGGTCGCCACATTGGTGACCCTCAAAGGTCCAGCACCTCGCTTCACCCGCACTTGGCATCCAACGGAAGAGGTCCTAGCCGCCACTGCCCGGCAGAACGCATTCCCTCGGAATGCCAACACTCCGTTGCTTCCACCATTCTGGTGACCCTGCTTGCTAGTGGTGTTGCTAAACCCAACTGCAGCAACAGCTGCAACAGCTCCGCGCGCCAATAACGCCATCGCTACCCTCGGGAAAAAAACAACACCCTGCTCAAACAAAATTTCAAATCGAATCAGCAAACTAGCGATGGAGTTGCTCAACAAGAGCAGAGGCTGAGGAATTCGCGAAGAGGAACGTGAGGGGATTGCAAATTTTGCAATGGGGATGAAGACAAGTGATGGGTGAGGAGAATCCTGTGGTGGGCGTTGGCTGGGCTGGGCCCTCCACTGGATATGGCTCCTGGTTCTCGCCACTCCCCGCTGCCGCTACCCTCGACTCGTTCACACCACAGCCATCCTTCAATCCTGTGACGTGGACTTCCACGTCGGCGCATCGAGATACCCGCTTGATATCCGGATGAGATCATGTCCGACCCGGATGTGTTGCCCCTCCTGTAAAAAAGGGATTGTAGATTATCCTTGAACTAAGATGGAGTACCACCATTTTTGTTGTTTGGAACTCTCATGTAATAATTACAGTAACAATTTTTTTTTCTGTGGTGATAAAATTATTAAGATATAAGCTTTATATTTATTTTAATTTTAATTTTCAATGTGTTTTTATCATTCATATTTGTATTACGCCTGTAAACGTACCAATTTTATCATTGATATATTTCAAAATTTAACGTTCAATTTTTTTTATTAAATCCTTAAAAAAATAATATATATATATATATATATATATATATAAAAGAAAAGATGAATTAAATATATTTTTTAAAAATCCATGTACGTTTCTTTCCATTAAAAATAATATTATAAATTATAAGAACGAAATAAAATAAAAATATGTAGATATTATAGCATTGGAAATACTATCAACTCCTATATGTGTAATTATTCTATAAACTAATCATTATATTTTGACAAAATCCTATCTAGGTATTGAAAAGAAGTTGTTTGATGCAGTACTAATTATAATATATATAATTAAATTTTTCATTTTTAATTTTTTTTTGTATTGAGTGTTGTATTTTCTAAAATCTATCTTAATACCTTGCATGATGTATTCTAAAAAATTATATAATATGGAATAATTACAAGATATATTGATTTTATTGATAAATGCTTATTAAATCAAAGTGTATATTTTTAGATAAAATGATTTGTGTGTGTGAATTGAGATTTTGACTTAAATGTCAAAGTTACTTAATAAGTATTCTAAAAAAACACAAGTTGTTTAATTATTGATTCTTCCTAAGAAAACCATCAAATTGATAGATTTAAAGAATTTTTAAATTTTACAACTATATGTTTATTGAGGGATTGCAATAGTGTTTGCACAAATTTGTATGCTTGGAAATGATTTGCCATCATTGTATACTTGGTAAAAATAATTTATTAAAAAGAAAGACTTTTATGCATTTAGAATTAAGATTAGATAGATAGATAGAGTATGTGACTCTAGTTTTGTAATACATTACATCATTTACTCTATAATGTTAAACATCTTTTTGAAAATTCAAAAGAAGTTTTTCTAACTGTGATCACTTTAAAACTATCTTGTTATCTTTTATTTAACAATCATTTGAATACATGATTTTTATATTTAAACCTCTTTACTTCTTATAGGACTTTGTATATCTATTTAAAAAACAAATATTAGACTAAGACATTTAAAAATTAGTCTATCCTTTTAGTTGTCATTAGTGCTTATAAATATCTACAATATAACTTCTGAATTTCTATTTAAGACCCAAGTAAAAACCAATTTGTATGCAAACTTAGGCCTTTCAATAAAATGTGTCTAACAAACTAATATGTTTTTGTGCTTCCCTACAAATTTAATGTATGTCAATCTCATAAAATATGGTTTACATTTTAAATATACTGCATACAACACCATACAGTTAGATTGTTGAATCTACAAATTTAGCTCTTTGCACTTTCATAAAATGATTGCATCAGGACCACTAAGTTGTATAGTCAGGCCATTCTACTCATCTCCATTTTGATCCTTTCTAATTTTTTATTTTATTGGTTGGTTGAGTAATGAGCAATTTCAATGGCGCACTGGGACCCTTCACAGGTTACACACTGTTTAGAAAAAAAGTGATCAAAGAGCACCTTAGTTATCAATGCTAAAGAACGTAATTTGGTCTTCATGCTATTCACAATAAACTTGCAAATGAGTATTCTGATCACATGAATGTGACACACTTTCACAAACGTAAGTGTATATATGAGTTAAAAGTGGTCAGAAACAGTTTTAAATTTGAAAGTTGATATTCTTTCTGTTCCTAAAGCTTCTGTTGTTTTCAATACCAGCGAGGTCTGAGATTTGTAGCACTCCAGTAGAATGTGAGCGCATCAAGCAGCACCTAAGACATCTTTGACCCTCAGCCAGATATACTAAATGGGACAATGAACAAAGCCGTCCTTACGGAACTTACAATCGTAACAAATACGTTTTACAGAGCTGCTCATACACTCCAAAAGGTGCCATAAGCAAAGAGTTTTTAGGCTCTTCAACCTGAAAGAAAACCACTTCAATAGACATGAATTACGGAATTGGGAGAAAGATTGCTGCGATGCAGCACAATTAGCCCCGTTCCACAATAAACGCGAAGTGGAATCTCAACACAAAAGAATGTTTTCTTTGAATGCCTAGCATAGAACAATCCAATTTCTTCTACCCATCACTCGTGCCTTGCCTGATAAGGGAATTGCTGTCCCGACCTTAGGGCTGTAACAAAATCCTACTGAAACTCAGGTGGGCGCTAAACACTGTACTAGGATGGCAGAAATTGTGCAGGACGGACGAACATGGAGCCAGCTCCAAGAACGAACATGCGTCTCCGAGCCTGAACTCATGCAGCACAGGGAATCTTACATGTTGCATTGTATTGAACGCATTTTTGTAAGAAAGATTACCACTCAAAGCCATAAACAAAAAGGAAATAAAAGTAATCTTTAAGAGCGATTCGTATCAACAATATTACCTGAACAGATATGCAACTGCATAGAAGCACTAGGTCACTGCCCCTGTAAAATTGCATATTTTCACACAACATTGCACCAAACTCTGCTTCATACTCCTCGGACAATCACTGGAATATAGAGTTCGCATCCCTATTTAATTACAGATAGAAACATTGGGGACTACAGCTTTAGTGCTGCTCATTCAATAACGAAGCTTTGTCCCCACTGCCGTTTTCGCTGTCAAACGCAAGTCGACCACTTTTCAAGATAAGAATCTTCTCCAACTCAATGAAATCGGGAGGGTACCAATGCTTCCTCGTGCTCCTCATCAGTATCAATTTTTTATAATAAGCCATACGTGCGCAGACCTCCCCAAAGGTAGGCCTGTCTTCAGGTACCGGAACCCAGCATTGTTGGATACATTCTGCTAGGTAGTCGGGGCAATATGATGGCAGCTCCGGCCTCTCGCCTGAGATGACTTTCTCAGACAATGATCCAAGCGTTATATCCCCATATGGCAACTTCGCAGTGAGAATTTCGTAACAAATTAAGCCAAAACTGTAAACATCGGCGGACGCTGTTAACCTTTCTCCATCACCAACCTGGTCCCCAATGATCTCTGGTGCTCTCCAAAGAATTCTTTCGTCGAATTTAACACCACGTTTCCCTGCACAATGAGCACTCTTTGACCTGCCCTCCAACTTGTACTTCGTTTGTCCAAAATTTGAAACCTTTACTTGAAATTTCTCACGCCCGGGGAAGTTACTAGGCTTGATTAGCAGATTAGCAGTCCTCAGATCCCCATGGATTATCTGAAAATCATGGAGATGTTCCATTGCCCTCGCTACCTGGAGCATAATGTCGATGGCAACAACCAAGTTGAAAGGAGCCTCCATCGAGGAACGAGAATTCAAGAGTGATCGAAGATCCTGATCCATGAGCTCTAAGACCAACATTCCTGTTCGATCCTCTTCTCTGTATGCACACCCAATCAACTGCACCACAAGCGGATGTTTTACCATGGCCAACATTGCCGCCTTCTTAGCTACAAAATCCTTGTCAATACCTGAGATGACCTTGACAGCAACATTACGTCCAAACCACTCATATTCATCTGTTACACTGTGGTCTCCATGCCCAAGATGCCGAATGCACGCCAAATCTTTGTGATCCAGCCAATAGGTTTCCGGAAGAGAGTCGATGTGAGGACAAGGTCCACTTAGCTTCTTCAGAAGGAACTCTGCAATAGCCTGATGCTGGGTGAACTCGAAATCGTGGCGAAAAGAGTCGTCCACTATGTCCTCAAGTTTTCTCATCATGTTTCTTCGGTCGCTTAATTCGAGGAAGTGAAGAGCATTGCTAACCAAAGTGTTGATTATGTTCAGATCCATGGCCTTGTTTCCCATCAAAAGATCGGTCAGGCTTTCAAGTGTAAGGCCATTGTTGCTATTGCTACCTTTGTCAACAAAGTAGAGGTTCAAACGCTCACGATATCTGAAGTTGGGATTTCTTGTCAGTACCATAAAGGCATTCTCAACAACATCCAGGCTCCACAAAAATCTCCGAAGACAAATGGCAAACGGGGACCTGAAGAACTGCTTGTGTCCAGAATCCTGCGCATCAAAGGGATTTGACATAATGATAGCTGACCGACACCAGTGCTCTAAAGTGCAAGCTGTGACAAGCTCCTGGCCATCATGAATGGCATGATTCAATTCTAGAAAAGAGTCCCTACAAAGTGAAAGACAATGATCGAAGTCCGCGCACTGCCGGACGGACTTTCGTTGCAACTCGATGGCCTTCTGGTGGATATTTGAATATTCCTTCTGTATAGACCAGGACAACTCGTCAAGCACAACTGAGAAGCTGTCACATAGATAGGTGCATTGGCCTTGATTGAACTGTACAGTTCGCTTCAGATCCCGGAATCTCTCTGACAACTGCTTGCATGCCTTCGGGATCTGGTTGAGCACCTTCACTCGCTCCCGTATGAGACGGATCTCTTCACTCAAGGACCATTCAGTAGCCATGGTTTACTACTCGCTAGGACATTCACGTTATCGTCGTCAACTAGGTGTCATTTCTCTGCAAGTCAACACTTTCTTGGGCATTTCGGAGACTTTTCCTTCCATTCGATCTCCACCTTTCCAAGGTCCGTCGATAACTCCTCATTTCTGATAAGCAGAGATGGCATGCGTAGACTTCTCTTGGAAAGACAAAATTGAATCGTCTAGCCACCCTGTACTGAATCTCATCTTGAAAGAAATAGCAGTAGAGCTCATGTGAGCTATTGATTATATCGTGATTGCAGTCAGAAGTTTGAGAGACTAGAGGTAATTAGACTAAAAATGTTGAGTTGTTTGCCACAGCCCCTCCAAATAAAAGGCTTCCCTAGCCCGCGGGATTCCATATGCTCTTTCTACATCCCACCTAGGGACAACAAAGCATCAAGTTAACCTTGTGTCAAGCAGCACCTGGACCACACCACCGCACGCTAACAATCAATCATCATGTCCATGGAACTAGAGCAAAAAAGATAAATCGAATGCAAATGTTCTTATGATTCTCAAATCAACTGAAACTTGCTTGTCAAGATCGTTGAAGAAACTACTAGTAATCCTTGGCCACGTAAAAACTTGAAAAGAATCTTTGTACACGACTCTGCCACCTTGAAAGAGGATTTGCGAATGACTACAAATAACTCTGCGTTACATCTTGCACATAAATGAAACGTATGATTATCAAGTCCAAATTGCAGATAATATTCGTTCAGAGTCTGTTCTTCTCTGTCTAAGCGTCCACTTCAAGTTTACAGAAAACACCGTAATTCGCGCCCTAGCTTGGTCATCAACATTATGTCCAACATTTACAATTGCATTAATCTCTCACTCTCACGCTTGACCTCTAAAACTGAGAATACTTTTGGTACAAAGCCAGACGTCACTGAGCTCACGGCAAAACGTAACAACAGTAATCCTCGCAATGTTTTCTGGAAGACCATTATGACCTAAAACAGCATGGCATGGAAAATACTGCAGTGGTGAGTAATAACTGTAAGAACTATATTAGGAACGCAAAGGCAACCTCTCTTAGATTTGCATCATCATCATTCGACTCGGATGCACAGTAGAATCGCATTAGTTACTTCACACCAAAAAATAATAATAATAAATAAATAAATAAATAAAAGGCATTACCAATGAATTTCGTTTAATCGAACTCACCGTAGGGCAGATATGCAAACATCACTAAGTCCTGAAAACGGAGTGAAGCAGCAGATGGAACTCAATAAACGCATTCAACTCACGCAAGTAAACCAGACGGGGCATGTGAAACTCACAATCACGCGGAACTGTTCCACTATCCTCAGAAAATTTGATGGCTTAAGAACCGCCACTATTGCCTCCAATAACCGCTACCAACACCGATGTTTCAATCGCGTCAGCTTCAATGAAAAACACATCTGCATCAATACTCTGCTTCATTATCGCATCCAACCTCCTAACCCCAATACCTCCTAACAGTCACCCACAAAAAGTCACGCCGACAGAAACCCACAAAGCCCACTCTGATACAACTCATAATCACTAAACGATCATCCCAAAAAATCTAACCCACATACGTAACAACCCCTCTCATCACACCAACCACATGTACGCTGAACCCAGTTCACAAAACCCATTAAAAAACGGTACCCAACTCATACCGACCAACAAACAATCATCAAGGCAGTCAAAACTAAGGACGGGAACCCGGATTCTCTCGCTTTCTCTTCTTCCCTCCTCCCCGACAGACCTGCATGCGTATCCCGTGAGTGGTAAAGGCGCGGTTGACACAACTAAGAGTCCTCCAGCATCCTCCCAGCTGTAAAGGCTGATTGCTGGGAATGATGAGTTCCGGTAGCCTTCGATCTTTCGGGCCGATGATCTCAGGAAAGACAGGTTGCTATTACTTGCGACTCAGTCCACCCATGCCTCCTCCATCTCCCACTTTCGATGCATGAAACTGCGCCACCAGGACCGGGAAGCTTTGAAGCTCCGAAGCTCATCAGGCACCTCGCAAACTGATCGCGCTTTCCCGCTGGCAGATGCCTTTCCAGCCAACACAAACTAGTCACCTATTTAGTAAGCTAATTAGTAATAATTGTGGTATTAGTGAGTTTGTTAGGTGAACTAGCGACCCCACAAGCGCGTCCGACCTACCCCCGTGGCCGCCCCCGAGACGACTCTTGGCCCCGCTTCGTTCTCAATCCGTTCTCGTCTCGTTCCCCAAGCTCCCACAGTAAAAAAGTCGTCGTGCCCAGCGGCATGTTGCTGCTGCTGCACGCTGTTCCCTGCCAGTTGGCGATTTCGAGGTGCCCTAATATAGAGTGCCTTTGAAAGGGTTTGAAGGCCACGGTACCCTCTCGAGATAGACTTCGCCCATCTTGTGCCGCTAACTTGGTGACCATGAGATTTGGCTCGGATCCTTCAACAACATTTTTCATGTTACAACTTCACCACTTGTGCTCTTCACCAAGTTGGTGTATACAAAATCTATAGATTTTATTCTCACTATTCTTTATTTATTTTTAATATTACTCTTTTTGTTTCTAAGATATTCCCAATTCGTCACAATTTGTTAGAATTTGTTAGAATTTATGCAAAACCAATAAAATAAAATAAAAATCACACACATACACACATTAATTATTCACATATACCCAATGCTAAATATGGCAATAAATGTCATGAAAATTTCGATAATGATGATGGATATTGTTATTATTAGAATATTTTTGCCTTGAGACAACATCTTTGCATGCTAACTTTGCTTTGACATCAACTCCACTTGGCTAACAATTAAAACAAAACAAAGTGTCGTTGTTAGTTTATTTTTATAATCACTTATTAAAACCCATATGTAATGCAGCAAAGGTCTACAAGAACCTGCAGACATGCCATAAGTCATGGAACTTTTTGTAGGAATCATTAGAAAAAGGAATAAAGCAAAATTAATGAACCTTTCTTACATGAGACAAGTCTCGTCATTAATGAATAATTAATTTTAAAGGAATTTTTCAAGTTTGGTCAATTGTTATATTTAAGGGGCTTTCAGACTTTGTGTTATAGCTACTTCATATCCACACTTGGAGTTGAATAAACTCAAAGATGATGCACGAATTTGTATAAGCTGCATGAAAGTATCACTTTGGTAAAATTGTGGTGTATTGTGATTGTTTTTGGTGCATAAATAAATAGATGTGGTGTGTTTGTATGAATTTAACCACTAATGTATTTTATATTTTCATTGTAACTTAATGTTATTGATTCACTGCTTTAAATTCACGTAGACCCTTGTATTTTTTACAATCAAATACATATGGAGTGGCAAAGTATTCTTAACCTTCAAAATTACATAATCACCTGTTCGATAGATTTATAAATTCTTCTACAAGATAATCCACTGTAATAAGGGGAGGGGGAGTGGGGAACAAAACAAAACAAAACAAAACAGACAGTAGTTTTATTTTAATGTACACAGTATTATTCTTTCTGGAAATTTGCAGATAAAACTTATTTTTCAAATTAATGAAATTTTACTATTAGAAAAACTTATGAAGAATCTGAAGTTACATTCGAATATATATGTTTCAACTATTTCGAGATAAAAGTTTTAAATTCAACTACGGAGTTTGATCAAATAATTTTTGCATTCAGAATATGACCCTACGCATGATAAGATATTTTATTCACAAATACAACTTGTCATAAAGATAGCTCTTAAAAAGATAATATAATTTTTTTGAAACATTTTATATTTACTACAATACTAATAAACAATAATCATGCTCACTACACATAAATACATAAGTCTGTTCTATAATTCGTGCCTTCATATAAACAATTCTTAGTTATATATTTCAAGTTGTGTTTGCTGTAATAGTTTTGTTAAAGGATACGTGCACTTGATATATTTTAAGGTTTAAGACTTCAAATTTTTTCCGGTTTCATGCACACAGAATCCTACCTTTACAAATTCCAGTTAAAATCTTGTGTGTGATGTTCTTATAAAAAAAAAAACAGATTTTTTAGAAGTGATAGATGTGCTTTCATTACCAGAGTATTAAATCACAAACATAGGAATAAATATAAATGCATCTGAAATCTAATATTGTTATTTTTGTATTACAAAAAAATTTGTGTAATAATAATTTATCAAAATAACTGAATTTGATTGTATTTTTTCTAGAATTGATTTTTAAATACCTTTATTGCTTAAAATCAATAAATGTCACTAAGGTGCTTAATTCTATATATGAAAATCATGCTTTAATGTATACAAGGATATTTAGCATTATCATCAAATTATAAAATATACTCAAGTATATCATTGTATTTTCTTTTGCATAATGTTCATTTTCTCTAGCATTATCTACTAGATATGAAAATAATGCAGGGTTTTTTTTATTTTTTTTTATTTTTAATATATATAAGGGAATCTTTTTAACATGTTTAATATAAGTTTTGAGTTGCAGAATGGTTAAATAGAAGGTTGTTGCCTCGAACTTAATTTTTAACAAAGTTGATGAATAATTTTGGCTTGCTTGATTCTTATTACAAACATACACATGATAAAATAAATTCGATTATTTCATATTGAAATCTGATGTTACAAAATTTTAAATGTCTATTAAATGTAGTTTTTTCTATTAAATTCAAGATTCCATCCATTACTTTACAAAATATATATTGTATTTTTAAGAAATTTAGGCTTAGATTTTTCATTTATTTAGTGGTCAAAGAACTGTAAGATGTTTTTATTTATTTTTATTTACGTTATTCATATAATATGTGAATTTTTAGAATGTATGTATGTATGTATGTATACATATTTTTAACAAAATGTTTAAATAAATTATTATCTTATATCCTATTCCATAAAAAATAGTTGTGTAGTGTATTAGAAGATGCAACAAGTTTTAACATATATTATTGTAATAATGAAAGATATACCTCTTATAGTTACATTTATCTATTTCATGCACTTCAAATATATGTAAATATAAATATAAATATATATTAGATTACTTATTTTATTAAAAAACTATTTAATTATTTAGAATAAATACTTATAATAATTCAATGTAATAAGAAGTGTTTATTCAATTATCTTAGTTTTTACATTTATTAATTAAAATATTTAATACATGCATAAGTATATATTTTGTAGCACCCATAAATTTTCAAATTTTACACCAACATTTTTGTATTGAACTTATTAAATAAACACACTCAAAAGAATTTAAAAATTTGTGCCAATATTTTATACCAAATAGATTACATGATATTCAACTATATGTTACATTAGAATGTCTTATCAAATACTATATATACGTTTTTTTCTTTATATTTTAGTTTTATGTTTATTTTAGTGCTTATACATAACATCTAGTATTATTCTATTCATAAATGTCCAAATTCATTGTTTAATAAAAGGACCAACTTCTATAGGCTCATTAAAGATTGAGCTCACAAAAATAAGAATTTAACTTAGAAAGACCTTGACATCTTTGTACACAAATATATTCTTAAGTTAACTGAAAAGAATTCAAAAAAAATATTTGACAAGTGTTATACATACTTTTAAAACAAAATTGGCAATGATATTTATTTTATAATTGTTTAAAGTTAACTAGATAATTTTGCATGCCTAGACCAATGTTTTTGTTAACCTTTCTTGTTCCTACACAATACTACAATTTACAGCTTTAACATTTCCAAAATAAATCTTTGTTGAAATTTTATTTTCTCTATATCCACTTATCTATGATGTGATCTATGATCTTCGAGTATGACGATTGTCATTTGTAGCTCCATGTGCTTTTTGTTGTACAATACTTATTCATATATTTTATTAAACAACCCATGTGATTTGGTGTAGAAAGTAACAATATTGTAACCATTTCCTGGCAATGCCAAGATACTACAAACATAATAATGATGAAAGTGATGCACAATTATTTGGAAAATACTCAACCCCATGCTACCAAAGCATCACATAACAATGCCATCAACATGCTCAACAATCACCTGAATCCAAATTTGCTTGCTCTGAAACACACAACATCCAACTATTGGAGACGTTTCCTAACAATCCCAAACCCATGAAATGTGAAACAACTCATTAAATTATTCACACAAACACACACACACACACTTACACACAGTCAGGAAACTCAATTCAGTGAGTGGGCCACTTGGACCCAACAAACACTTGCAGCGACATCTAAAGACCGAGCCTCACACACACACGAACAGCATGGAAAAACGCACTTTTCTACAAGAAAAAGTCCAAGTTGAGCAGTGAAACTACAGTACAGGGCCAGTGCTCGGATTGGGTGGAGGTTTTATTGTGACTTGGGTCCCACGGAGCCTCCGAGAATCCGTGTTTTCTTCGCTTACAACGGTGAGTAAGCAACTCAAAACCTGCACTGACTGCTCAAGTGTTGCATGATTCTGTCTTGTGCCAAGTAAGCTATGGACACAAGCTCAAGCCCTTTTTAAGGTTCTCACTCTCCATTGCATGCTCCAGCACAGATCTTCCTCGAAACGGTTTTGAGATTGATATGAGAGACGGGGTGTAGTGGAATCATTTGTCTGGTTTTAGTTGGAGCGGAGATTGTTTTGTGGGTGTGAGGTTTTGGACAGTTTTGTAGAGTTGTGAGTGTTGGAGCTGATCGTTTGCGTTGAAGAGGATGGGGAGTTTGTTGGCCAAAGAGCGTGGATGCACGACCGAGGAGGAGGAGG